GGAGACAGCCAATCAATGATTCTGTCTCATCATTGATGTTTCTATCTCTCTCTCCCTCTCCCTTCCTCTCCAAAATCAATAAAAAAATATTTAAAAAAATGAAATCTGGTTTGCATAAGGCTTGGGCTATATTTATACTTTTCAACAGCACACCCTCCAATATTCTAGTTATGCAATGCTAGGCTCATCAGGCATAATACAATATAATCTTGATAATGTGAGCCATTTTCATGATCTCCCCACATTTAAAAATAAATTTTATATCTGGATTATAAATTTCATAATTTCATTACTGAGTTTCTCATAGGATTTTACATTTGCATTGAAAGACTATAGTGCATGTTGCCTTAACATTTCTTATTAACAATAGATAAATTTATGGCTTACTCTTTTATAATTATACTAGAGGCCCAAATGCACAAAATTCATGCAAGGGGCTCAGTCCTCGCAGCTCCGGCTTCATCTGGAAGGTCGTCCGGAAGGTTGTTTGGCTGTCCGGTCTAATTAGCATATTATGCTTTTATTATTATAGATGATTCTGACACTTGGTGTCCCTTATGTTTCATACCTGCCACATTAGTATAGTATAGTTTACTTCCTTTTTTTAAAAAAATCTTTTCGTTGACGAGAGAGAGAGAGAGAGAGAGAGAGAGAGAGAGAGATTGAGATTTGTTGTTCCAGTTATTTATTCATTCATTGGTTGATTCTTGTATGTGCCCTGACTGAGAATCAAACCCACCACCTTGGTATCCTTGGCATATTGGGGCAATGGTCTAATCAACTGAGCTACCCAGCCAGGGCTAGTATAGTTTTCTATTTCCCATTTTTTTATGAGCTGTGCATATGTAGAATAATACCTTTTCTCAAATATAAAATCACTCACTTTCTATTTAGTATTTTTCTGTTTTCCCTTTGTGACCTGATCTTTATTTGGATACAGGTTCTACTGAAGAAATAAAGTAATTTCCAATTTTTTTGTGTTTTGAAAAGAACCCTACCTTGAATTACCCTATATCTTTATTGTGTTATACTTCTAATTTCCAGTGTTCATTGATCATGTTAGATTTTTAAAAATTCCTTTCATAAGTTACTCTTTTCTTAAATCAAAAGTTATTTATTGTTGTTATTTTAATTTATCTTTATACTGAAAGTATTACAGATGTCCCCTTTTTACCCCATTGAGCCCCTCCACTCCACTCCCATTCCCTCCCCAGGCCTTCCCCACACTATTGTCTGTCCATGGGCTATGCATATATGCATACAAATTCATTGGTTAATCTTTTCCCACCCCCACCTTCCCTCTGAAATCCGTCAGCATGCTTCAATGTCTCTGGGTCATTTTTGTTGTTCAGTTTATTTTGTTTATTAGAGTCCACATATAAGTGAGATCATGTGACACTTGTCTTTCTCTGGCTTATTTCACTTACCATAATACTCTCTAGGTCCCTCCATGCTGTCTCAAAGGGTAAGAGAAACTCCTTTTCTTAAATAGCTGTATAGTATTTCACTGTGTAAAAGTACCACAGTTTTTTAACCCAATTATCTACTGTTGGGCACTAGGGCTCTTTCCTGATCTTAGCTATTGTAAATAATGCTGCTATGAACATAGGGGTAAATATGTAATCCTTTATATTTAAGTATAGTTGCTATACAATATTATATTAGTGATATTAATTTCAAGTACACACTATAGAGATTTAACATTTTCATACCTTACAGTGTGACCACTACACTAAGTGTAGTAACCATCTGTCACTGTACAAACTTATCACAATACTAGAGGCCTGGTGCACAGATTCTGCCTGGCCTGCGCCCTCTCGCAATCCGGGACCCCTTGGGGGATGTTGGATAGCTGGTTTCTGCCCAATCCCTGCAGGCCAGATCCAGACAGGAGGGAGCCTGGTCCTTTGCATTGAGTGTCTGTCCCCTGGTGGTCAGTGCACGTCATAGCGACCAGTCAAATGGTTGTTTGGTCGTTTGGTCATTTGGTCACTTAGGCTTTTATATATATAGATTATTGACTCTTATTTCCCTTCATGTTTTTCATCTGTCCTCTCCTTTCCTTTGGCAAGCATCCCTTTGGTCTCTGTTTCTATGAGTTTATTTTTTTTTGTTTTATTTGTTCATTTGTGTGTTGTTTCTAGATTTAACATGTAAATGAAACCATATAGTATTTGTCTTTGTCTGTCTGACTTATTTCATTTTGCGTAATATTTTCTAGGTTCATCCATTTTGTCACAAATGACAAGATTTCTTTCTTTTTTATGGTTGTGTACTATTCCTATATTCCTATATATAGAAATGCATGGCCTATATATGATATATATATAATATATAAATGGTGTATGTATGTTATATATACATGATATATTAATGGTTCTTATATGTGGTACATATATGGCATATATAATATATACCACAAGTTCTTTATTCATTTATTGATGGACATCTAAGTTGCTTCCATATCCTAGCTATTGCCATGAACATAGGGTATATATATCTTTTGAATTGTTGTTTGCATTTTCTTCAGATAAATATACCCAGAAGTGGAATCGCTGGGGGTATGGTAGATCTAAGTTTAGTTTTGTGAAGAATGTCCATACTGTTTTCCTTAGTAGCTGCACCAATTTTCAGTCCCACAAACAATGCATGAGTTCCCTTTCCTCCATACTCCCTCCTGCATGTCATCATAAATATAATCTTGTACCTCATCATCAATTATTTAATACACCTTTTGCTGTCTTACTATTATAGACCATGATTAAGCAAATTTTGGAAGCGGCCTGTTATTTTTATATTCAGAGTATAAAATTTCCTTTTGGGGTTATAACACATTTCTATAATCTTGGCAATAGCAGTGAAGTGAATAGAAAAAAATGAAGAAACATATACTAAAGATACGTTAGGTATGCATCAACAAATACATAATAACACTAACATTTGATAAACCTTCTTTTGGGTTTCATATTTACTTTTCCCGTTTGTCTATTTTTGTCCTGTTTATTTTTTTAACTTCCAGGTTTATAGACATTTCTAGTTTAGCCAATGTCATAGCCATATAACAATTTCCAATATCTTAAAAAAACTATTTATTTTACTCATTAAAAGTTGCTACTTCCTGAACTTAATGAGAAGACTGAGGGAAGAGTAGATGTTGGCAGTAATTAATATTTTTCTATGTATCAGCTACATAGCAATTAATTATATTTCAGGGACTTCCTCTCACAATTAGTTTGTTAAAATATTTCACTGTATTATTTTCAGCATTTCATAATTATGTCAGTTTTCTAACATTGCTATAGTTATTAATTTATTCATAAACTGAATTCATTTTCAGTGTCAATTCATGCAACTATTTGTTTTTCTTCAAATTGCTTATGTTATTTTCCATATGAAAAATAGATAACTGTCTCTTTGAGTAATTTCCTACCAAATAAAAACTGTATCACTCTTTACTGACTCTGGCAAAATTATAATAATTCAAGAAGATACATTATACATTGATTCCATTGTATTTTAAAACCATTTTAATACTTGTGCTATATTAACTGCTAATTGGGTCATGTTAAATTTGTTGATCCTGTAGAGATTAATAGTTGCCAGAACAAAATGTTTGCATAATCAAGAATAGAGTTAACAACTGCCAGAATCTTCTCATGTGGGCCATTTCTCAAGACTAACACACTAGTGAGAAGTCACTGGAAAATTTCGAACTTGCTACTTGGCAGGCAATAAACTTTGCCCTTGCCAGTGATCATGTTGACATGTTCAATCAACAAATGGTCATTTATTTCAATAAAGATTGAGTTTCTCTATTATTTCTTCTTTGACAACCATGATTTTTCTGTCAGTCCACATATCCTTTGCTTTGAGAGATGAGGCTCCTTCAGTTCCTCTCCATGGCATGCCCAACTTCAATCCTTCCATACTCCGTATGGCAGCAAATTGTGGGTGGGAGTGCAATTCCTCAGAAGGCTGTGTAATTTACTTTCCCTATTACATTCACTAGCACTTGCTTTACTTCTACCTAATTTTATTTTCTTTTTGCCCTTTAATTTGTCTCTTATTTTCCTCTCTTGTTTTCTTCTCTTAATCTTTCTTGTTTTCTTTCATTATGCCAATATTTAAGCTGTCTCCTTCTTTTGTCATTCTTAATAAATTCATTTATTTTCTTTTTTGTCGATTTCTCTTTTTACTAATTGTGGCTTTGTTGTTCTTCTTTTTCTTTATACATTTAGTTTCCATCATTTAAAAAATTAGTCCAGATGGAATCGTCCTTAAATTAGGTGTTCAAATAGCAATAACTCATTAAATAATTTATTGTTTTATACAGTTTGTATTGATTAACACCACAAGATGCTGCCCCATACATTTTAGAATAAGCATTATATTATTTTTATTTACGTATTTACATGAAGCCATCTTATAAGTTTCACTCTGAATATACCTAGGTTTCATATTTTGGCATTAAGAATATCACTAAATGCCAGATATTCTCTTGTGAAAAACTTTAATGTTAAGAAGAAAAAATATAAATTTTATTGAATATATATTAAATATAATATAAACAACTGAGAAGCAGTGATAATTTCAATAAGAATTCTAAATGTAGTAAGAATAAAACCACACAGTTTCTGTATTGACTAAATCATCAAGTAATTTTTGGATGCAAAAATATTAGTACATTAATTTTCTTATTTTGTAAAACGTTATTCTAAATAAGAATTTCTAATGATACTATCTGAGTCCCCCAAAATATTACGTTTCAAAAATTGTCACTGCTAATTGAATTTCATGTGTGACATAATGCATAACTATATAAGTAAAATAGTCTCCAATTGTGAATCTGGGAGGATTTGGAAATGTTTTTTGTGTTGACCAGTCTGATTCCATATAATAAAAGCCTAATACGCTAAGTGTCCGACCATTCAACCATTCAATCAGTTGCTATGATGCGCACGGACCACCAGGGGGCAGACGCTCCGAATGGTAGATTTGCTTGCTGCTGGGGTCCAGCTGATCAGGACTGGGTGAGACAGGCCGGAAATGCCCTGGAGCCCCTCTGTGGTCCCTCTGCGGCCCCGATCATCCCTCAGCCTGGCCTGTGCCCTCTCTTAATCCAGGACCCCTCGGGGGATATTGGAGAGCCAGTTTTGGCCCAATCCCTGCAGGTCAGGCCAAGGCACCCCACCAGTGCACAAATCCATGCTCCAGGCCTCTAGTGTTTAATAAAAGAATGGACATTTATATCAACAAATTGTGCTTATTAGTAAAAGTCAATCCAGATTCACAATTAACAGATTCAAATGTCAGTGGCATACTCTGATCATTATGAGTGTTAGTAAGAATTTGTTTCAACACTTTTAAAAAATTATTCAGGAAGTTTTAGTATTGCATGTATTTTAGCCTTCTGAATTTGTTGAGGATAATTTTTATATTTCATTAATTTCAAATTCACTCCTAAAACTGTTATTCAGTTTTCCTGCGATTGCACTCACTATAAGATGGAATTTGATTAAGGACACACAGCTTTAGGCTATAGATCAAATACACTACATAAATAAAAATATACTAGTAAAGGTCAGTCCACTTATTCTAATTTAGCAATAGCAGCCTTAATATAATCAATTCTACAATCCCAGCTAAAGCAACTCTTCCTTCAAACTTTGGTGAGCCTGCTCAAAATAAAGTAGCTGATTTAAAAACCTACACTAAATAAACCAGCAAAGGTTTCATTCAGCTATGCCTATTGGATTATAATCTTTTCCTGTTTATTCTTAAGATAACTATATGTATAATACTCATGGAAGTACTCAAATGATATTACACCCTCAAATGCTTTCATTCTTTATAGTAACAACTAGAGGCCCAGTGCACAAAGTCATGCATGGGTGGGGTCCAGCCGGCCTGGCCCTGATCCAGGCAGATCGGGGCGGGCCTCTCCAGAGGAGGAGACGGCAAGAGGTTGGCCAGCCAGCCCACCCCAATCAGGGTCCGATCAGGGCCAGGCCAGCTGGGGGGAGGGGCCGCAGTCAATTGGCCAGTGGGACCCACCCGTGATTGGGGTGGGGGAGCCGATTGGGAGTGGGGCCAGCCAGGGGGAGGGGCTGCAGGCGGTAGCCACCAGCCTTGTGGCTGGCCCTGCCCCCGAATGGGGTGGGGGGACCAATTGGGGGCCAGCAGCCTGGGGAAGGGGTTATGGGTAGTTGGGGCTAGCTGTGGGGAGGGGCTGTGGGCAGTGGGCTGGCCAACACTGGACACGAGCTGAAGCTGTAGTCCACAGTGGGAATTTCTTTTTCTTCAAAGAATCCTAAAGTCTTCTCGTAACATTGTTCACTTGATTGAATCAGGCCCACCCATATTTTCCAGGATAATCTCTCTTACTTAAAGTCAACTGGCTGTGGGATTTAATCACATCTACAAAATGCCTTCTAAGCAACACCTAAATTAGTGTTTGCTTGACTAAATGGGGACTCTAGTGTGGCCATGTTGATATATAAAACTAACCATCATGGACAGATACTTTTATTATTCTTATTTCCCAGATTCAAGAAATTGACTTTGAAAAAAGTTAAATTAAAATGCTACAACTAACAAGTGATGGAACATGATTTGAACCCAAGTATATCTAACCAAGAACCCATATTGTAAAACCCAGATGCTAAAGAGGAAAATTAGTATTGGGCCATCTACCTAGTGAAGAAATGAAATACACACATATGTATTTACATACTATCACTAATATCACTAGCAACACCATGTAGCTATTCATGTAAAATGATAAAATAATATTTAGAATATTTGAATACATTTATTGATATTGTGGGCATGTACATTAATTTAGTTAGGTTAATTTGTTTTTGGAAGCCATGAAAAATTATCTGTCCATTATAAATTACAGGAATCTTAGAGATAATTTAACAATCAATTTAATTAAACTGAAATAAAATGTCAAGTGTAAATTATAAAAGACAATAGGATCACTCATAGTAATTTCTATCATTTTAAATGGAGGAAAACAGAATATTATTTCTACCATTATTAGAATTAGGTAGTAAGTGAACTACAAATGTTAATCGATAAAGTAGTACATTTAATTTATTGGATTTCTGCATATTGGATTAATGGATGACTGGCAGAAATTTATAAAACACGCACTCCAATAGACTTAATACCTAGATTAGACAGTAGGAGCTAAGGAAATATTTTTATTCTGTTATTACTGATTGAATTTGTGATATATTTTATTCTATGTTTGTATTCAAAGATAGTACTCTTGATTTCATCTAGTTCTGAAATATGTGTGCACTTTTAAAAATAGGAGAGGCTAGGTGGAGGACATTGTCTCCCCCACAGAATTCTGGCTAAGGAGAGAGAAAAAGAACAAAAACAGAGGTGCAATCAACAAAATAGCTATGAAAAGTGGTGTTTGTTCTAGAGTTTCATTTTCTTCAATGACACATTACTTTCACTTCGCTCTAAAGTTTAAAGAGTTTGTGTCCCTTGTGTCAAAATTTCACTATTTTACTTTTGTCCAAATATCAGAAATATCTTCAATTAAACCAAACATGTGCTCAAATAGCATCCCTGTTTTTGTTATCTTCTTTGTAAAGTCAGCCTTTTATGATAAGCAAGACAATGCCCTTCCCTGCAGGTGTTCACCTTCCTTACACTAAGTCTTTGCTTAGCCTGAGATGTTGCCCATGGACTGCAAGAAACTTTTATCCTTCCTATTCCCAAATTACCATACCATGTTTATTTCCTATTACTTTCCAATGCAAATATCTTCTAGCCATATTGGGCTTTTCATTCTCACTACAATTATTATATACATTCCCAGCCACATACCTCTGCTCACAGTGTTGGTCTTATGTGACTTGATTGATATCATTGGCTTAAAATATTGAATAGACTATGAGAAAGGCCTAGGAACCTACCATTAGAACTCTCTCCCTCTCTCTCCCACTCTCTCTTAAGATAGATTCATTAACCTATATCATTTTACTATCTATATAATAAAGAGCCAGGGTCGTAACCACTGATTAAGACGAAGGCTGACCAGACCTGAAATCAGTGCTGGGTTGCCATGCCGACCCAGCACTGACTGAGGCACTATGGTAACCCCGACCCAGCACTGACTGCCTAGGGGGCTGCGGATCAGGCCTGGAGAGAGGCCTGCAGAGAGAGAGGCAGGGCCTGCCTGCCTGATCGCCCCTAACTGCCCTCCCCTGCCATTCTGATCTTGCCCCCAACTGCCCTCCCCCGTGGGCCTGATCTCGCCCCTCACTGCTCTCCCCTGCTGCCCCTAATTGCCCTCACCTGCCAGTCTAATCTCTCCCTCAGCTGCCCTTCCCTGCTGGCCTGATCACTTCTAACTGCCTCTGCCTGCATGATCACCCCTAACTGCCCTCCCCTGCCGGCCTGATCTCGCTCCCAATTGCCCTTCTCTGCAGGCCTGATCTCACCCCCAACTGCCCTCCTCTGCCAGCCAATTTGGTTCTGATTGGTCAGTTTCTATGCCAGTCAGCATCAAAAGCTCCACCTCCCAGACAGCCATTGGCTCCTTACATTCACCCAGATTTGGTTCTCATTGGCCAGTTTCTATGCCAGTCAGTGTCTCTGGGCCTATCAGCAGGGCCTGATCAGAAAGGTGGGGCTGATTAGCAGCCCTGGTGGAGGCCTGGAGAGAAATGGAGGCATGGCTGTTGGCCAGGACGGGAGAGAAAGAGAGGCAAGTTCTGATCAATGGCTGCCATAAAGGCTCCTGCGTTGAGCATCTACCCCCTGACAGGTGGTCAGTAAGTGTCATAGCTACCAGCCAAACAGTCGGACACTTAGCATATTAGCCTTTTATATATATAGATTCTAGAGTAAAATATATTCCAAAAAATACTAGGAGTAATGTAAAACATTGATTTACTAATGAACATTATTCTCAAGAAATAAAGAGGTCAGTGCTCTCTAAAGATTCTATAATTTGTTTGTTAAAAGTTTTTTGATAAAGTGTGCTGTTGTTGAGATTATTTTATTCTTTGTTTGGGAAAAACTTAAAGACTGTTAAGGTGGTTAACCAGTAAATTCACAGGCAATCATATATAGTAAGCATAGGCTATTAATATTAAATAATCACATAGGGCTTAGAGCTTGCCATTTGTTATTGATTCTCTCCCCATGATCAGGTGTTTAGCACTGTATATTCAAAAGAATAAATGACTCCACACTTCATGGATCAGGAAAATAACCACAAGTTAATTGTCAGGATATAGATAAGCACTATCTTATAAACTGTAGTAAAATCAAACATTTATTATGCTTTTAAAAACAATCCCATGCTCTTTGAATGATTTTCATCTATTAGGAATTCCATATTGTTTATCTGACTTAATGACTCATAAAAATGTAACCTAAAAGTGAAAAAAAAAATACATAATAAAATAAGTAACAGCATTAAACCACTAGTAATATGGTCCATTTGTGTTAATGGACTATATTTCTAGATAAGTAATGGCACCCTCTTGTCTGAATTCTGTTTCAGCTACAAAACTTGCTATCTAATTTTAGCAGAAAATGTCAGTTTTAAAATATATGTTTTATTACTTAACACAAGTAATTGTTTGCACTGAAGTGAATTTGTGTACAAAGAAGTATAGAAGGTAAGAGAAAATTTTGTTGCTATTTCATCATCTAGGACCAACAACTGTATAAAAACAGGCTTTTATCAATATGTATGTAGTTTATTTTTACAAAATTTTGATTATAATATACATACTGCTTGGAACATAACTTTTTTTCTCTTGATAATGCATTCTGAATACTTTCCATGTCATTAAATATGCTAACACATCTATGGCTATAGCAGAATTTATTTAACCAATCTCCTATTGATGGACATTTAAGTTGATTTTAATCTATTGATGAATATAAGAAGCTTGATGTTTCTAAAAATGCTTTTTAAATAAATGCATAACATTCTGAGCCCCGTTCTCTACAAGGAGTATGTATTTGTTTCATATGGCTTCAAAATGGCCCATCGTCTATTCTATGCTTAAAATTGTAGAATTACTGCTATAGAT